ACTGTTTATTAAGGGTGAGATGAAGCAGGTTATTGACAGATCTAGTATCGCGAGATAGGAAATTAGAATTGCTATATTATACTCTATAGGTAGAATCATCTAAAATTTAATGAGGAGACAAAATTTTTTCAGAGATCGTGATGTTAGTCTGATTTTATTTCATATGAGAGAAGAGTATTTAATTTTATGTCCTATCCAATATGATAATTATTTGTGACACCTCTATCTTAAACAGACCATATTTTCTTCGACTTCTTCTTACTCTCATATAGAAAATGGATATAGTATTTATACTTTAATTTATCTGACTGATTCATATGAACTTTCTAGAGTACTTTACTGTAAGAGTTCAATCGAAACGCATTAAATGAAGCAGTATCTATTGTTATAACATAAGCCGCTATTTAGAAACAGATCGCGAGGCGTGATTTCATACACGCCGTGGTTTGTAAAGTTCTGCATACTAGCATACAACGTTCAGGAACTACGTGCCTTGATTTAATGCTCGAAAATAGATCGCTGAATATTCCAATTTCTCTGAACAATACAAAACTTCTTAAACCTTTTTATGTGACTTACATAGACTTGGTGTTATATTATTATGATTTTCACATCATTCAGATATGTTTATAAAATCCTAGCATAAAATATATTTAATAATTTATTACGCCTAGTGCCGCTTAAATTGTTTATTTTATAAGATTTTTATATGTACTTATAATTATAAGGCTTTGGACACTACTTTATTTGTTTATTTAGTAAATAGAATAAATTTAGAATTGAATATAAAGAATGCTTTTTACAAAACCATATTATTATTGGAAAATTTATTAAGATACATTATATAATAAAAAACGACTTGCGCGAGTACTTACTCTGTCCTTACACTACCAATGATGCACACTTGTGTTTTTTATATTCAATACATTATTATACAAAGGTAAAATAATGACAAGACGATATTTAACATTTTATTATACATAAAAATATGATTTTGGAAGGGTTAATAAGTTGGAGACGTGATTTATAATTTTTATTACACATAGACTGTGACCCCGTCAACATTAAGATGATCTCTTACAATAAAACATAATGATATAACACAATCATATATATGCAAAACAATTTTTAATCATTTCAATCGAAACAGACGTTTCTTCGAAAATACATAAAATGAACAACAGTTTTCAAAAATTATTAAGATTCTTTTATTCATGTGACCTAACAGAAATATAGGACAGAGCTTGCTGTAGCCGGAACCTAGTGTAACTTTATAAGAAACATACATTTCAAATAGCTTAAATAATGCCCATTTATATTAAGTTAATTGACATAGAATATTCAAAGTGTTCACATAATACATATGTAAAAGCAAAACTAAAATTGAATTCATTAAAAAATAATCCCTTTTAAAATGTTTCAAAGTATAGGATGGAAGAAAATTTTTAATCTGCTAAAATTCTTATTACATATAGTTTAATAAGTTGAAAGCATATTCATATTAAGCTTGGTTTTTCTAACGAGTATTAACTAACGTACCTACTGAATTATCCATTATAGTTTAATAATTTTAAATGTAGTAATATATTATTATATACCACAGCTGAATCAACACATGCGATACTCGTAAACATGATAATTTATATGTAGTATTAATACGGTTACTAGTAAACAAATTTCTTATATGGATTAATACACTGACTTCAAACTTCGTTTGTAAGTCTGAATAACGCTACTTTAATTCTAAAAGAACTCGTAATCCTCTACAACAAAATACATTAAGATACACCGATAAAATGTTACAGTTAATACCACATTACACATATAATTGTATGATTGACAAAAGATGGCAAAAAAATATCGATCTGCAATAGTATTATAAATTATTATGTCCTTACATAGAATTCAGAGTATTTAAAGCGAATGTTCGGATTAAAACAGACAACCATCGAAAAATAATAAAACCTTTAAACAGTTCCGATAACATTGGCACATAGTTTTTTTAATGCAAAATAAAATAAACAAAATTTATACTGCTGCAGATTTACAAAGGATCAACGCTTAAACTACAGCAAAAATGTGACTTCACGTTAACAATACACTTGAAAAAGTTTTATTGCTTCAAAACTACACACTTCACAATCGTAAACATACAAAAGCGGCAGAAACTATCTACTTTTTCACAATAGTTAGGCTACTTTGGCAAGAATCCTATTTGTACTCATGTGCATAACAGTTTTTAAAATTTCAGCAAAAATGATCACTTATTAAATGTCTGTATAAGGTCATCAATTCCGATATAATATGTGACGTGTATCATCTTTACTGATAATAATAAGGCTTATACAATCGACATCTATTCATATGCATATTGACTGAACATGAAATTCACATTGTACTAATTATTTTTAACATTATAATGTTACACGACGTCAAACACGCCCGCGCTTTAAACACTTAATGATATGTTATTTATGTAATATTAACAAGTGACGAACACATCATAATATCATTTTCCACGTCACTCAAAACCATAAAGCAGAGGATATTCTATGTAATAGTATAATATTTCGCACACGCGTGTCTCAATTAGCCATTCAATCAACAAGCAAGCCCTGTACTAAAAGGCTCCGTACCGTCAATTTCCTGAATGACATCTAGCCCGCTACATAGTAGTAATACAGAATGTATTGAACGTACGTCACTCCCCGCCAGCCGTTTGTGGAACTTTAGTGTTAAAAACTAAAGCAAATACAAAATAAAATATATTTTTTTAATAAAAAATGAATTGTTTAAAAGAACAATAATTTCAGCGTTAAAATAAAATTATGTTAATAATTTATAAGAATCTAAATGTTCTAAAGAATGCCTGAGTTATTATAAGTCTGTACTATATCATAGATATACAGATCCTGTTCACTTCAAAGGCGGATTGTCAGTCAGGAGACTAACCGAACGAATCCATGACAAAGCTGAAGTCTATTCAATCAGTCGACCTTACATACATTTTGAGTCACTCATATCTGGTAATTTTTTGATGTTCCAGTGTCGCTACGAACCTACTTAAATTTTATGGGTCATTCTAGAAACATTTAAAGCAATAAATAATCGTTCATGCAAGAAATATGAAAAAAAAACTGGCTTTGTCCGACTGAAATTTGTTGGTTGGGTGAGTTCACTTTACACGAACTGATGGCCAAACTGTTCCTCTCTGAGCTATTTGATCGAAAATTCATTTTTAGAACCTGCTTTTGGTACGGACTAACTTTTTTCATTTGATTCTATTCGTACATTCACAGCTAGGGAATAGGGAAACATTATTCGGTCAATTTGATAAACCTATTACATCACAACAATTAATTACATACGAATTAACTGTTGTTAAAGATCAACAGACCACCGAATGAGACTACGTGTTGATAAAACATTATTGATAAAAAAACAACTTATTTTGGAATATCACTTTGCTGTTACTCGATTGTAACGTTGTCACAAGTAATATTTACTTGCTCAATATATATAATATTTTGAATGTTATTATAAATATTAAGAAATAATTTTTCACATCGTTTCAATCGTAAATTTTAATAATAGTATTGGAAGAAAATAACTATAATTTGAATAATGCGTTTTTTGTTATCAGCCGATCTCGATTTAAAACATATAATTTAATCAATATAAATTTTTCTACTAAACATTAATTACATATAAAGAATATTTAATTAAAATGAGCGCAAAATTAATTGGCATCGGACTGAAAACGCACATTCATAAATAATTTTAGAATCCCATTAATAAATAATTAATTAATTAATTTCATTAAATAATATTCAATTCAGTAATATACAATTATCTTTGGCTTATTTGAAATAATAAGTTACTATAAGCATTAATAATATACAAAACTTAATGAGGCTAAGAATAACGAAAAAATTATTATTAAAATCTTAAAACACATTTACAAATTATATACAGAATTTTACGTAAAACGCGTCATATTAGGAATATCATACAAATGTACTAAAAGAAAAGCTTCCTTTACACGCGATATAAGAGAACATCTTGTATTCGTCAATCAAATATTTACATATATATGTAAACGACACAACCAGGAAAGTGTACCGAAATACAACATCAAACTATATAATATTCATATAAAAAAAATTAACAGCTATCCTATGATAGAAGCATGAAAACTCAAATTAATAGAAACATTCTAATAATAAAAATAAACACGAATGATTGTCATTCTATTAAAAAAATCAAAACGATGCAATGAGCAATCGATAAACTAAACAGAAGCGTTTTTTAAATATTAATACATACATGTATAAGATATTTCTAATTGAATAATTGCAATAAAACACTTTAAGGTGCATCGAATCAAGTCTCATATCGATTACATTATAATACTGCTTAGTTCCACAGCCTGGTATATTATAAGTAAAAAGACTCGTGCACAAACTCATAGTAAGCAATCATCCAATCGCCGAATGAACTATCTGTATTTCATATATATACGCTATGGAGGTAGAAAATGTAAAATATGTTAAAATGTTGTGCGCGAGTTTAAAATTGTGATATTTTATAATGCCACGTAGCTTATTTAAGTGCTTCAATTGATACTAGAAATTATTTAACAGGGACATGATATTACATTATGCAACTCGTCTGTAGTTCTGTAAACTATAATATGCGAACTAACTGTTTCATCAAATTACATTATCACCTACATTACTTATAGGCTCTAAATTGTCATTAAAGAAAATTAATATATTGGACGAATTTAGTAAAAGCAGAAAGAATCTTAATAAACTCCTATATCACTTACCATTTGTCCGAGTCACATAGAAACAACTCACAGTGGTGACTTGATAGAACGTATGAATATTTTTAAGCTAATAGAAAAAATACACATACGACATCAGAATCAATAAATAGTGATAAAGGCATGGAGACTCGTGTCTAATTATAAAATGTCAGGCTTCCCGCGAGGGTCCTTATATCTCCGCCAAAAGCTCTGAATAGTAGTGGGTGGCGCTCAGGTAGTCTAGGAGACGCCTCGGCAGTGGCAGGCTGCTGATCAGATCGCGACGCACGTGCTTTAGTATGACGAACCTGCAACATGACGTACATGTAAATATAACTTATATAAAATACAACCGAGAACGACCCTAATGACAAAAAAATATACAGTATAATATGTATGCAAGTTTATAAATGACTATCTATTTAATTCTAGTACCAGAATTTAGTTCATGATAATTTTATTATCTTTCAAATGCATACTAGCATTATGGTACTATAAAACATTCATAGCTTAGGCTCCTTTAGTTCTGTCGCCTTTCACGAATGTCACCAGAATATAATCTAATCCTGCGAAAATAACTCAATGGCAAGTTTTAAATTTATACTTATTTTCCTCCGTCCCAGTTCTATGCATTGTGCTTCGTGATATTTATTTCAAAAAACTTCTTTTCTTTTTAACTGAAAAACTCCGAAATTAAAAATGTCTAAATTTCGAATCGTACATTTCCTACATATTTACACACTGAAAGTAATAAGTCTAAATTGCTATGACCGTCGAGACATAATATAGACAAAATTAAAATTTCATTGTCAACAAACAGATCAGTGAAAGTTGAAAACATAAAAAGTAAACAAATTTTGTATTATAGTAAATATAACTTCCGTGTTAATTTAATTTCAAACTATTGAAATGTGTCATGGTAATATATAATATAATTTTTATTGGAACAATATAAGAGATACCTAACACGTCTGTTGTCGTATCCTTTACTTTTAATAATTAATCTGCCATTAAAAATATGATGTGTATGAATTTTATTCGATACAACAAAATTTGACTGCGATATTTATTCTTCATAATTGAATAACATCTTAAACAGGAAAAAAAGATTAAAAGAGTAACTTTTAAGAATTTATCTTCATACGAACAGAGGATTAACTCAGTCATATGAGAGCTTCCTCGAATATATTAACCTCTTTTGTTGTTTTTAATATGTTAACAAAAATGAATTAAATCCTTCCCTTTTAAAAATTGTTTTAAAAATAGGATAAACCTATTTCATTCGATAGTATTTTTAATTACAGGAACTAATGCGTCCAAATATTTTTTTGAGTTATTTCGCTTATTCTATTATTTATATTGTATGATGGTATAAATATATTTTTTTTACTTTAAAGGTTTTAAACTACTTTTAAAGATTCAATATTATTTGGAAGACAAATTAGTCTCTTGAATTTTTTTTAAATATTATTAGGTGTACAACTTTGCTTCCGCCGTTTTTTTCCGAAATTCGAGGCTTTATTGTAAAAAACTGGTTATACATTTATGATTCGAAGTATTGTCCATCGCTGGCCACTACTTTCTCCCATCTTTCGGGCAGCATACGAATCCCGCGTTGAAAAAACTGGTCATCTTTTGAAGCGATCCACAAATAGATCCAATTTTTAACTTCTTCATAATACCGGAAGTGCTGGTCAGCCAGGCCGTGTGCCATTGATCGAAACAAGTGATAGTCCGAGGGAGCAACATCTGGAGAATACGGCGGGTGGGGTAGAACTTTCCATTTCAATGTTTCCAAGTATGTCTTGACCACTTTCGCAACACGGGGTCGAGCATTGTCGTACTGTAAAATCACTTTATCTTGTATCTCGTTGTATTGCGGCCGTTTGTCTATCAATGCTCGGCTCAAACGCATTAATTGTGTTCGATAACTATCGCCGGTGATTGTTTCAGTCGGTTTTAACAACTCATAATGCACTACGCCGAGCTGGTCCCACCAAATACAGAGCATACCTTGGAACCGTGAATATTCGGTTTGGCCGTCGACGTGGAAGCATGGCCGGGATATCCCCATAATATTCTGCGCTTGGGATTATCGTAATGAACCCATTTTTCGTCCCCAGTCACAATGCGATGCAGAAATCCTTTCCGTCTTTGCCTTGCAAGCAACTATTCACAAGCAAACAAACGCCGTTCAACATCTCTCGGCTGCAACTCGTACGGCACCCAATTTCCTTGTTTCTGAATCATTCCCATGACTTTCAGGCATTTTGAAATGACTTGTTACATCACTCCCAATGATCCTGCCAATTATTGTTGCGTTTGACATGAGTTTTGATCAAGTAATGCCACCAATTCTGCATCTTCGAAAACCTTCTCTCTTCCACCGCCATGCCGGTCTTCGACGTCAAAATCACCGTTCTTGAAGCGTTGAAACCACTCTCGGCACGTTCTTTCACTAATAGCAGCCTCACCATAAGTATTTGAGAGCATTCGATGAGCCTCAGCCGCACATTTCTTCATATTAAAGCAGAAAATTAAAACCTCCCGCAAATGACGAGAATTTGGCTCGTAAGCTGACATGTTTAATCGAGAATAACTTTATGATGCAGACACAAATCGACTAATATTTCGATGGCGTTATGTTTACAAATGCCTAAGCTTATTGTATGACATCTACGATCTATTTATTTCGACTACCACTTACCGCTACAACCATCTATTGCAAAACGGCGGAAGCAAAGTTGTACACCTATGTATATTATTGTCTTGTTATAAGTGTGCTGTAGAAAACTGTATAAAAATAAATAAAATTAAGTTTGTTTTAACAATTAATATTAATATTATATAATGCATCGTATTTTTATGAAGACTTAACTTTTCTTTTATTTAATACTTTCACTTTGATTAAAAGAAAATTGGTATGGAATTCAGTCCTCTGCAATAGTTTTATAACAGCTGAACAATTGTATAAAGCGCGATGTTTTGTAAAATTCTTTCTCTTCTCCTGACCTTATAGAAATATCTATTGAAGTCAATAGCTGGCTTATCGACACTCATTGCGAGGTTTTCAAAGAGTTCGCACTTCATCAGAGCTTATATTTTAACTGACCCTATAAAAATCTATCTAAATTATACTTGACTCATCTTGCAGATTCTATGACACTTTTAAGACACGATTTTAAACTTCTGAGTTAACAACTCCTTTCACATTACGATATTTATAAAAAAAAATCTATAGGAAAGAATTCGACTAAACGACAAATGTACCTAACGACATAGAGGAAACTTTAAATTCATGCAAAATATTTCGTTCAAAACTGTAGACAACAAACAAAAATTGCGACTGAAATTTCAATTGTAATTCCTAGACTGTTTGAAAACAGATATATTAACATCCGGTCAGACGTCTCAGAGGAATATGTAAGCTGAAAACCAATTTAATCCATTATTTAGGCTCATATTATTACTAACATAAAAATCATTGTAGAAGTAACATTGACACATTTTCTATACAAAAAGTAACATCGCTTTCAACGAGATCCAATATTATAAATCTTCGTCGTATTCCTAATATAGTATTCATGTATATCTAGTTAATTATTAGTATTGAGTGTACATTGTATCAACACTGTTTATAAGTCGGCTACCATCCTTTGTATCTCTTACATATATTTTTTTTGTCTGGTACAATATTGTAACAGTTGAATGCACACCCCAGCCTCCCTCCTATTTATCGGTCGGATGTATCGTCGGTGTAATCGAACACCGTTTCCGATATCACGCGAGACTTGTTATAAATTATGAATCATTATTAGCAGTTCATTTTCCGCAATCATATTAAACTGCCGTTTATTTAACATATATAACCTTCATATCTAATAAACCAGAATCTTCTATTCATTTCTGAGTTTATTACTTTGAATAATTTCGTAATTACCTTAAGGGGTTTTATAAGTTTGCTATATATTCTAAAATTTGTTTAAAACAAAATGAATAATGGAAAAGATTTATTTGACTTTTCCGTAAGTATAAAATTATTTTTATTCACATTACTGAAGACCTAATTCACAATTCAAATAATCCCTAGAGGTACAATAATAATCATCTTAATCATTACTCATTACCAAAACATAACATTTTTAGGAAGCCATGCAAACACTGACATGTAAAACATTTGTATCCGATATACAATACAATCAGTGAATCAGAATGTTATAACGCCAATCATTATTAGATAGAAATGTATTTTACATATTATGTCGAACATTTCAAACATTTTGAAATCGACTATTCAAAATATGTACATGATTCTATTCAATTTCAATTTTCCCATCATTAGTTTAAGGGAAAAGATATTTTGATGCAAATGTAGAGTAAATAGCTCCGCTGTAGCACAACTACGCGAGAAGCACATGACATGAAATAAAATATGTGACGCAACGTAACACTGTATTATAATGTGTAATGTCTTTAAATACACCTGTTATATATAGAAGAGTCTTTAGTAGTTTAGTTACTACACTACTGAAGTAAATGAAGAGATTTTTCACATTTTACATCCAAAGTATACAACTATGAATGTTGACTTTTCTTTAAATGTATCTTAAGATAAGACCTATTTTAATCCGTCGATTTAAATGGGATATATATATCGATAGATACGAAACCTCTTAGCACTTAATGGATTCACCGTGCAGGTGCCGGGTCCATCGCGTTGCAGGGAGAGGTGCTTCAACAGTGCCTGGGAGTTGCGATCCAGGTGTAGGTTTAAGGGGCTCTATCTAAAACGCGTTAAATGCTCACCTGCACTGTCCAAGCCCCTCTCTCTACCTAACCAAATTTCCATCCATATATTGTATACAGTTAGTTACATGATAGTTTCATTAAGTAGCCATACATCATAAACACAATCAAAGAACGATCAACAAAGTTCCCAAAAAACGTCACGTGAACAAACCTCAAATAAGTTTTCAGTTAAATTGACAAAGGCTTTGATTGTCAGAGGGGCTTCAAACGGAACAATAGATTAATATTTAAAAGATATAAATCATTTATATTTATTTAACAAGTAAATTATAATGCGTTTATGTTTTTTAAAGCCTTTTAAGCATATTACACGACAAAATCGCCAAACCGCAGTGTAGTGTAGTTGGTTAAGCTCGTTACTCCACTCATTTATGTAAGAGGCATCGTAGTTGCCCAGCAAAGCGACTAAAGCAAACGAGCTACCAATAAAACAAATGAATATTGGAATAAGCGACATAAATATAATTCATAATTTACTAGTGTAAACATGTAACATGTG